AAGAAAACTTTTCTATAAAAGAAAGCTTAAGATTTCGGTTGTAATGTTATTCTCAATCTTTATCGGTTTGGATAATTAAAAAAAAAAAAATTATAATGATAATATAATTAAGGAAACTTAAGAAATCATAATGGCATTACCTCTCTATTCAACTTCCATTTCGTTTAAAACTTAGAAATCACTTAGATAACTTTATACACGATCATTTATAACAATGTAAATCGTAATCATTGCATTAATATTTAACATATATATTCTTATATGTAATATATGTATATCTGTGTGTGGATGTCTTGTCTGATCTATTTCCTAATTTAATAATAAAACTATAATACTAAATTATGTTGGTACCACGCCTTTCCGAGATCAGAGTCTGTTTCTCATTTTACATTTTTTTTTTATGTTTTTATATATATATATTTTTATTCTTCTTCGTTTGGTACATACACTATATCTCCGACACTCATTTTTTTTCCAAATTTATTGTCGTCAATTTTAACTTAACTTTTATTATATCTCTTTTATTAAAACCCCGACGAATTCGATCGTTTGCAAGCAAATGACGGAATATTCATAAAATATATATACGATTATATCTGTTTCTCAATATAAAATTTACAATTTCGTCATCTGGAATGCGCTTCCTGCAGAAACCATAAGCAGGAAATTCTTTCCATGATACGTTAAAACACGCGTACCAATTATTTTTTTTTTTATTACAACTTTTCTCAGTTTTGAATCAAACTCAAGCTCGGGCTGGCCAGTACTTCTAATGTGTAAAGGTGTACATATGTTTGTGTATGTATGTGTGTATAATGTATTCACGTATTTGTGTTCCAAATTCTCTTTAAGGAGTTTCACAGAAAATGTTCGAAAATACAGAACAAAAGAAGACAAATTATAATTAAAAATTATAATTCAATTAAAAATCACGTATAAATCTCAAATTTGTAAATAAAAATATATTTATATAATAATCAAATCTCTCAATAGTCAAATATTTTCTATCATTAAAATAAACATTGAATGTAAAAACACATGACTTTATGTATTATTTTTTCCTTTTTTTCTTTTAATAACAGAACATTTTCAATGGAACCTTTATTACACATAGATGCAAAATGTATCTATGTATAGTAGATAGCGTGTTTACAATTATGTATTAACGCTTAACCCCATGAAGCGTTCAAAAAAGATATTCAAGATTATTAATCGTTTAAAATCGATTAAAAAAAGAAAAAAAAGGAAAGAGAAAATTAAATTATAGAAATTTACATTTACATATTTCATATACAAATCAATTAAAATCAAATTTTGTTAATCATTTAATATGTGATATAAATATCATATTTATTCTACATGTAAATACTATATTTATGTCCTTGATTAAGGATAAGAAGAATCTACAAAATAATATAAAAATGTGATATCACAATGATATAATTATAATGCTTCAAAGGGTTAACATTTTTGTGTGTAGATGTGTATATGCGCGTATGGATGATTTTTTTTTTATGTGATGGTAGGCACTGATGGGGGGTGGATGGCTGCATGGCGAGCAGGTTCAAGCAGGCTAGTCCTTGATCAATCTGTATATGTGATGTTGTGCACCGTGCTCGGACGTCGACACTTCAAACACGTATGCTGTACATAACAATGTTTCCTGCGTATCCCTGTTCGTTACAACCTGCAATTGAAAGAAAAGAGATAATTATAAATATTAAAATAATTTATAAAAAAATTTAAACAATTAAAATTAAAATAAAAAATTGAACGATCTTATTTAGATTATTAAAGATTTTTTAGAAATAAAAAGTTTCAAGTTAAAATTTAAAATTA